GTGTTAATGAAACAAAACACAACTCTGGGTGTGGGGTGGTTTTTGATGAGGTAACAACATTATAACATGGCTTAAAGCTCACAAGAGACATTTTTGTGTAATGTAGAACCCTTCAAAAAATGAAATTTATTTAGTAAAGCTATAGTAAAGAATTGTATTATTGTATCAGACCAGCTCCAACAACAGCAGTAGTCTTACTGGTAGCAGTAGGAATTATTCCCTTTATTTTGACTTCTTACTTACTCGACTCCACTACTCATATTTCTTTCTCAAACACTATAGTGTCAAATGTATTGCTGTATGGAAGTGTATGGCGTTAAATGTATTCCCTCGGGTAACTATATTTCTATTCTCCTCTAACTGTGCCTGCACCCAGTAGGAGGCCATTGATCAATATAAAAGTACCGATCTACACTGCACGCTCACTCAAATGCGGTGCACATACTGTCTGCCTATTCATCACGAGTCCTTGGCACAGAGCACAACCCTTCAGCCCTCATACATAGGAATAGTAGCATCTCTCACTTCACTGTAGGCTCTGAGAAAGTGGATGAGAAACAGCTCTGTCAATGAAGACGCAATTTGTGGCTCATTTCTCAAAGATTCGCCACAGCACTGATCAATACTGTCTGCTAAAGGCTATCAGGAGTTATGCTGGTGGTGGCTTCTGTATGGTTAATTGGCTTTAGGGTTAAAGGAGAAACAGTATTTTCTCCTCCTGTACATAAGTGGTGACTAGACTACGGTGACAACCTCTATGTTACTGATGCCAAAGCAAAAGCTATAGGCTATTTGTTTGTTTCCAACATGCTTCTATATACTCTCAATAGACAGGTATAAGGTTTAAATGACCAAATATTATGAATCGCATCACTGCAGTGCACATGTAAAAAGTTTATTTGTTGTTTGTAATATTTGGGGGGTGAATTGTGTAGCTTTTATACTGATGTAATGTGTACCTTGTGTACCAATATCGATATTTGGGCTTTAAGTATTTACCAATACACGATATGAACTGATACTAGAGCAGACACTGACAACATAATTTATTTCTTTTAAACATTTAAATACAAGCACCATAAAGTAAAAAATGTTCCAAATGTGTTTTGTAACTACAGAACAGCTTTGTAAAAATACAAGTTTAATATTATGAGATGCCAACTTTTGCAAATGATTATATAAATTATTACACCAATTTATCGACCAAAATGGTATATCGACTGAACCCATATCTAAGAAGCAGATATCCGATAAACCAACATGTTCAATATTGGCACAAATATCCAATACCAGTATCATATTGGTGCATCCCTACCTGTCATACATGGAAGGTCCCACCACCTTTCTCAGAATTCTGTCATTTTTAAATACTATACAGCACTAACAATGTATTCACCTATGCGTTGGGGGGCATACATGTATTTTTGGTCACTGGCTGCTGACATTTACTGATATTTGGTCCACAGCGGTGCATTGACGGCTTTTGTCTCATGTGTCTGTCTCATTATGCTGTTTCCACTGATAAGGCCAAAGTGACCTGGATCAGCTCTAGTCACTGTGTAATTCTTTCACTTTTATTCAGGCAGTTCAAGTTAGGCCTGTCACAATAACAAATTTTGAAGTACGATATAATGCTGAAATAAATATAGACGAAAAACGATAATATTGCATCAAATTTACACCACTGACACGCTAACCGAAGAGCAGATTTAAACCGCCAAAAATAATCTAAATGTACAATGAACACACTTGCATCTGTAATGAGTCATAGAAGTTATCAGTTTAACCTTTTCTCTTCTAGCTATGAATAAATAAATCCTGGTACTACACATGATCAGAGCAGTAGACAGGGGACAAGGGGTCTGTTGTCTTCAGCCCCAGAGTTTTAGGGGACCAGAATTGGATTGGATCCTCTTCCTATCCTATTTGTATTAGACAGTGGGCCCATTTGAGTCTCTTGCCCCTGGGCCCCCAAATTTCTGTTGACGGGCCTGCACACTATAAATATTGAACCAAAAAATATATTTCAACTTTCATACAATATAGTAATTAGTGCTGTCATGTGATAAAAAAGAGAGATTAATTAATTATGATCTGTAATTAATTAATCTAATTAATCTCTTTTTAATCTCACCTAAAAATTGCTGAGAAAAGCGTTCAATTTGAGGTATTTTCATTTAAATTCATTATTACATTATTGTGGCAGATCAAAAGACTGATATAGAACAAGTCTCCATGAATAAGAAACTGTTTGCTGTAAAGTAGCAAAGAAATGTTTTATATATGAGATCACTGGTTTTAGTCCTGGTTTAGACCTGCTTTAGTCCTACTTTAGTCCTAGTTTAGTCCTGGAATGGGTTAGTCCTGGTTTTAGTCCTGGTGTTATTTCTGGTTTAGTCCTGGTTTTGTCCTGGTTTAGACCTGGTTTTAGTTCTGGTTTAGTCCTGGTTTAGTCCTGGTTTAGACCTGGTTTTAATTCTGGTTTTAGTTCTGGTTTAGTCCTGGTTTAGTCCTGGTTTAGACCTGGTTTAGTCCTGGTTTAGTCCTGGCCTGGGTTAGTCCTGGTTTTAATCTTGGTGTTAGTTCTGGTTTAGAGGCGCACAGGAGGAAGCGCAGTTCACGCAGCGTATGCGAGAAAACATACGCGGCGCATGGGAGGACAGCGGTGTCCGCACAGTAACTATGGAAGGAAACGTGGTCCGCGCGTTCTCAGGTTAATGACGATGATGAAGGTGTATGTTTGTGTTTGTGTGTTTTGTGTGCGTGTCCCCTTGTGTCGCAGGTCACTGTAGGACAGTAGTACAGACATCATGAGCCTATGCAGATTGTTTTTACCAGTGACATTTAAGTTGTAGACGATTTTATATTTGTTATATTTCTTTTATATTTCATGTCGGGAGAATAATTTCCAAGACACGAATGCACCTGTGCACTGCTCACTCTGTTCTACTGGCTCTTCCACCTCGTCCATTGTGTGACTGACGCCGCCAACGTTAAAATGACGTTTACATCGCTCTTACTGCGTGCGTTTTGTGGGGGTTTCCGGCAATGAGTGGAATTACCGAAATAAAAAAAAATTATAAATGTGTTTTTTTGTGTGTGTGTTGTTGTCCCAACAACACATAAAAACAGGTTTTATAATAAAGCAACTCGCATACAGAAACAGTAAAGTTAGAAATTAAAAATGAGATTAACGTGATTAAAAAACATAACGCGCTAAATATGACTGTAATTAATAAATCGCAATTAACGTGATAATTTGACACCCCTAATAGTAATTATCATGGCAAACCTAGTTCAGGTAATTGCTGTATTAACAATGCTCCTCTAATATTTGAACATTTGAAATTCTCCAAAAAGCAGCAATAAATTATGATTGCACAATTACAGTTACTATTTTCTTTTATGTTTTTGGTCCTGTACTGCCGATATGGTACTTTTAAACAGATCATGATTGATGTACAACTTCACTGTGTCATCTACAGGGAGAACAGTGATGGTGCTGTTGACCCTGTGGAGGATATGAGCTGCTGAGACAGAGGAGCGTGTCAGGCAGAGCAGTGATCCAGCAAGGTCCCTGTGTGTCTGCCATTCACCTCAAACAATCAGACCTTAACAGCAACATCAGTACTGCACAACAAGGCTATTCTACTCTGAGCTTTTTCACTGATTAGTTAGAGCTTCGAATCAATAAAAAGGTGCATATACCAATGAGGCTACACCTATCAGGACCATAGACTGTATAAAGAAGTGGACTAAGGGAGTGTCACTCCTAGTGTTCGGCTCTGGTCAAATGAAGCTTACGAGGCTAGCAGTTATTGGAGGGAATTTGGATCCCATTCTATTTTAGGAATAAGAATTTATTTACAGATAAAATAGCGACATAAAAACATCAGGGTCATGTAAAACAGATAAATGCATACATCTTAAGACCAGAATGAGAGAGGAGTGACAGTTTTTCTTAGCTATATCCATTTATTTATTCATATATACAGTGATTCTATGACTTTCTGTGATTTTACCAATGGATCCACCCAACTCATGACCTTGTTGCTGTGAGACGATACTTGCAGTTGTATATATTGTAAAGTAAAATTGATTTCACAGTGTTATTATTGTTACATCATTAGTAAGCCATAGATTCCATTATGCTTTGAACCAAAGTTGTAATTGTAAAGTCACAACTACAGGCACAGATACTTATAATGGCAAACAATACACTACAGCCTTCCACTAAACACATAAGTTGTGCCTATCACAATTACAGTTATGGTGTGGTATAGTGGTCCTTTTGTGTGTTTTGTGTGGTGTGTCTGTTGTGTTCTGTAGTCTCTGTGTACCTGGGGTTAAACTGTGGTCTGCCATAACCACCATAGCTGTCAACAGGACAACTCTCTCTAATCAATAGGCTGTTTATTCATGGTTTGGGATTGATTCTTGGAACAGCACCACTTTATCTTATGCCATAATAACACATTTGAATCCAACACTGTAATTTGTGGTTTTAGACAATGGCAAGAAGATTATTCATTTGTTTCAATGACTTGGTTTTGTTTTGCTGGTGGAAATGTGCTTGCTGTTTAATGAATTGTTTGGTCTACAACAAACTTTAATTATCTGTGCACAGAGAATTGCTCCATTGTGGAGTGGAGCCCTAAACAAAATCACATTTTGAAGAAACTGAGATATAAAATATATTTTTTATCTATTTTCATGTTTGTGTGCAGGTGCTGAGGAAGCCTCTCTCTCTAGTCATCCCCTTTGAGCCTGTTGCCCGTCGGAAGTCCATCTTCAAGAGAAGGCGGTTGTCATGGCACCCCACTGCCTTCAGACCGCAACGTCTCCCCCCTCCAACAGTGGGCGCTGACTCTGAGACTATCACTACCAAACCATGTAGTGAGCCTTTCTCCGTTGTGGGGGGAGGGCCTGTGGTATTTTTAGTTGTTTGTGTTTCTATAGAGCAGGTTTTATATTGTTAAGAGTGTGTTTGGGAGTTGGAGATGGTTCTGTACAGTACTCCATATCCCAGTGCGTGCCTGCACTTCCTGGACGGTCTGTCATGGAGCCTGGTCTTCCCTTGTTATTGGCTGCTGGACCGACTGTTGGCGTCATGTGTGGCCACGTCTCTGGAGAAGCGTCAGCGCTCCAGAGACCCCTGCTCCTTCCTCAGCCTGTGTGTGCTGGTGTGGGCCCCTCTGTACCTGCTGCTGCTGCTGCTATCCCTGCCCCTTGCTCTGGTGGGCTTCATCCTGTGGGCACCTCTGCAGGCTGTGCGCCAGCCTTACCTCTACACCTACATCAAGTTAGTGCCAGTCCTCTTCTCTGCTCTCATGATTAAAGTTTAGTTTAGATTTATTTGTAGGGTATGGCTGAAACACACAAGGGCACATTTTGTTGCATGGTGGACAGTGCCAGTAGTCTATTTCCTCAAATTTGCACTCATGAATAAATATTTTATCTACTATTACTATATATTAACTTCTGGATGATAATGTGCTTCTTCTACAGATTAGACAGGAGCCTGGCAGAGCAGGGCCAGGCAGGCTCAGGAGGACTCTCTGAGTGGAGACCTCAGGGGCGGAGCTTCTGTTTCTGCAGTGCTAATGTGTGCCTGCTGCCGGACTCTCTGGCCCGCTTCAATAATCTGTCTGACACTCACAGGAGAGCCCGAGAGGTGGGCAAGAGGATCAGGAACGGGGCCAATAGACCCCAGATCAAAATCTACATCGACTCCCCCACTAACACCTCCATCAGGTATCTGCTTTCATGCTTGTAATATGAAAAAGGTGCAGTGCAATTCTTTTATTTCACTGTTTTTGCGATCTCTTTGCTACTTACTGATTCAGTATAAGTGTGTCACCCAAAACAATGAGATGTCTGACTTAACTAACTAATACTTTTTTGTGCAGTGCTGCCTCCTTCAGCAGTCTGGCCACTGGTTTCCGCCGCACCTCGTCTCTGGACCAGCGCCCAGAGCAGAGCCACAGTACCAGTGGGCAGGCTGACAGTGAGACTGAGCCCCTCACCGAGTGCCCTCTTCACTCTTCTGCTGCCCCTGACTGCCCCACTCACCCCTCTGTGGAGCAGGGCTCTTCTCCATGTCCCCTGCACCAGGAAGAGTCTGCCCCAGTCTGCCCCCTGCACTCCACCTCAGACTGTCCTGTCCATAATGGGGGCTCAGCTCCAGACTGCCCACTGCATCAGTCCTCAGGAGGGCAGAACAACAGCCCAGATCACCATACCTGTCCCATGCATCCCTCCAAAGGGGGTGATCACAACTGCCCCATGCACTCTCCTGCTGGAGGTGAGAATGCCTGCCCCATGCATTCCTCTGCAGATGGGGAACACGCTTTCCCCATCCATTCTGCATCAGGAGCAGATCACAACTGCCCCATGCATTCCCCTGCTGGGGGTGATCATAACTGCCCCATGCATTCCCCTGCTGGGGGTGATCATAACTGCCCCATGCATTCTCCTGCTGGGGCTGATCACAACTGCCCCATGCATGCCCTTGCTGGGGCAGATCACAACTGCCCCATGCATCCCCCTGCTGGGGCAGATCACAACTGCCCCATGCATTCACCTGCTGGGGCAGATCACAATTGCCCCATGCATTCCCGTGCTGGGGGTGATCATAACTGCCCCATGCATTCACCTGCTGGAGCAGATCACAATTGCCCCATGCATGGAGAGGGCACTCCGTCCAAGTCGTGTGCCCTGCACAGCTCTGGTGTGCAGATAAGCATCAGTGCTCCAGAGCCCCAGGAGGAGGACCAGTCTGACCAGCCTGTAGACACAGCCTCCATGACAGCTTCCCGGGAGTCCCTTACCCGCTACCATGGCGACGGTGGCGGAGGGATGTACTCAAACAACACCTTGTCTCATGTCCCACGAACATCCGTCTTCAAACGAGCAGCTCGAAAACGGCGCCATGGAGATGAGACTTTTGACCATGAAATCTCAGCCTTCTTCCCTGCCAATCTGGATTTCCTGGCACTGCAGGAAGTCTTCGACCACGGCGCCACCACAAGGCTGCGTCGCCAACTGCACAGATACTTCCCCTACGTCCTGAGTGATGTGGGACAGTACGGCTGGAAGAGCTGCTGCTCCAGGTTCAAGTTCCTCAACAGTGGGCTAATGCTGGCCAGTCGATACCCCATCCTGGACGCCCGCTATGAGTGCTACCCCAACGGCAGGGGCGAGGACGCTCTGGCAGCTAAAGGAGCTCTGTTTGCAAAGGTCAGGATAAGACTACCCTTCTGTCATTTATGATTTTTATTGAAATGCATCCCATTCAAACACACACTATTTGGTTTGATTTCAAGCTGTGATTTTTAAAGGTAATCGTAATAATGGTTTAACCCAGCAAGCTCTTTTAAGAGCTGAAAAAGATGTGTTTTAACTTACAGCCTACAGGCTGCCTACCTGTGGTAATTATAACGGGGTACTTGAAATTTTGACCTTTTCTGCCTGGTTATTATTGTCAGTTATTTTTAGTTAATTCGTTAGTTGTCTGGGCAGAAATGTCAGAACACAGCACTGCTTGAAAATGTCATAACCATTATACAGGTCTAGAAAATCCACTTTGAGACAGACATAGCAAATTTAGTGTTGTAGAATAAATTGAAGTAGCCTGAGAGCTGGAAGAAGAGGTTGAGGCTGGTTCTAATACAGGAGAAATTTATTTACCATCACTATGAGACCCTCAAGACATTGTGATAGTGTTGTCCATTTCAGTCAGGTCTGGCTATGCTTCCAGTGTCGGGAGTATTATACCAGTGATGACGTAAGCCAAGATAACAAACACTGAGCTGGCAGTGAGAGCCCTTGGTACTTCGATGTTGCTCTATTCTATTTTTATTTTGATCAGTTCATACGAAATCTTCAGCTATTTGAATCTAATTAGATTGTGAATTGTGTAACTAACTTCATTTTACTGGATTTAGTTTAAAATAATCCAGTCACTGATTTATTAGCTTTTCTCTTCTGAATTATGTGCTCATCACCCTGCATTTCACACACACACTGAATGCCCATTGACTCTAACTCAGTAAAATAGAGTTAAAATGTGCCACCAGCTGTGTGCATTTATTATCACTTTTGACTTCCTCTTTCCGTCTCCATTCACATGTTTCTATAGCATGTGCATGTTCTGAAACCCGGAAGTCTGTATGCGCTTTGGAGCACACGTGTGGCCACCCATTTTATTCTCCCACAATTTATCTGTTTTTACACGAAGGTATGATACAGTGATATGACGCAGATACATATTTTTGTAGCACCTGTCAGTAGTGTATTTAAAGGTGCGCTCTGCAACTTTTCTGGTGGACGGATCTGCTTGTCTCCATGGTTATGTTATTGTTTTGCCTGGGATGTTCTGCAGTAAACTCATATATATTTTGTTTATTCAAGTAGAGGGATTTTTTTTTCTTAAATCTACCATAAAAACACACATTCTTACTGTGAGTGGGCCCACTTCTCCACAGATCTGATGTGTAACTTGGCCTGATGAAACTGCTTGTCTCCATGGAGATAGGAAATAAAATGCCATGCTGTAGAACATTCCAGGAAAAAACAGTTCCATGGAGAGAAGCAGGTGGCAGACCCTCTACCAGAAAAGTTATGCAATGCACCTTTAACAACAAAAGTGGATATCATGGACATTCATGCTGTAGTGTTGGTCCTTGTCTTGCAGCTGTAGATTCTGGGCAGTTTTCCAAAAGCATCCTTCCCCTTAGTGACCCAGGCTCATTAGGCCCTGACTCCTGCGGCTGCTGAATCTCATTAAACATGGTTCATTTGATGTAGCTCATGTCTGAGTGACTCCAGCTCACAGAGACAGTGTGCTGGGTCAAAGGTGTGCTCATAGTGCCCTCTTTGATGGCAGCTAATCAACAAGATGTTCTGACTATTTGTAAACAGAAATTATTGGAGCAGTTTGTCTGTGGCTGTCTAAAGACCTCTAGGGTACAAGACAAATATTTTTATTTTTTAGGCATCGTTATTGTTGACAATTATAAACAGAACATTATTTAAGTTTGCCGTAGTTTCCGTCATAGTTTTGTGACTCACTTTGCCTGCTTATAACATAGTGACTTGACCCAAAGTCATCTGCCTCTGCTTATTTGGGGAGAGGTCACACTGGCACCAAAAATGTTCCCTCAGCACCCATAGTCTTTTATGTGTATATATTAAATCATCCAGGAATCAGTATCATGCAGGGACTGTTTAATGATTTATTACAAAAGCTAGTATCGGAACCAGGTAGTTTTATGAGCAAGTATCAGTACTAACAAAATCAAATAAATGTTCTAATGTTGTTTCCTCATCACAGACATAATTGGAGTTGTGTTTTGTTTCACACTAGCAAAAGAGGGTTACTTAAACATGTGTAAATGAAACAAACCATATTTCAAGGTATGTTTTTGATGAGATAACAACATTATAACATGACTTAAAGCTCACAAGAGACACTTTTGTTTAATATAGGATCTTTAAACAGCTAGTGGTCCTTGATAGCGTAGTAGAATAGATCTATATCAGACTTCCTTTGACTCTTCCAGGCAGTTACTTTCATTATTGAGTTTGAACCTGTACATTTGTAGTTGTTCTTCCCCTTGAATGCCCCTCACCTGGAGAATAGAGCAGTCAGCCTGGATCACGACAAAGTGATGTGTTTTGGGGGAGGAGGAGAGATAGAATATTAATTAAAAATGTTTCCCAGAAGAGGGCGCCGGGCAGTGCACAGTAATTAAAGCTTTTCACTCCCAACATTTATCCGCTCTTATAATTATTTCAGACAGCTAAGTGCACGGTTGAAGAGACGTGTTTGTGCGTGTGTGTAAATAATGCAGTTCAGGCGCATTACACAGATTAAGCTTTAGACAAATAGAAGTCAATGGAGGCTTCCTAAATCCAGCCTTGGCCTTTAGCGACCAACAGACCTCTAATCATGTGAGGTCAAATCCACTTGTAGAGACTAAGTGCCTTTTCAAGTGGAGAGGCTGCGTCTTGTTTTTTGGCTATATGATAACTTCTATGCCTCATTATAGATGCAAACTAAGCAAGAAAGTCTGCTATTTATTTCTTGATTATATGATTTTTGTCATTTTTTTATATAATATATTATGACAGACAGTATGTGTGTGTGCTGGTTCAAGTTGCATTACACTGTCAGAGCTATTACAATTGTTTTGATTGGAAAAGTGCTGAAAATATTATACCATTTGACCAGTGACCATGCTAAGATTCTTATTGTTCTCAAAATTTTCCTTGATTAATTTATTATTCCAAGAAAAAAACCTTGCGTTGTTCAAAATCTGTTGAATAGGCTTCCTCCAGACACCAGACTTTAATAGGAATAAGAAAAGGGAAGCTGAACATGTGTGTGCTTCTAGTCTACATAAACATCCAGCATAACAAAAGGTCATATATTTCCTGTCAAATTTTTAATATTTGTCTCAGTATTTGTGTTGGCTGATGCTGACAAAAAATAATATGCTTTTTTGTTATCCCATGAAGATAAAAAATGTCCTAAAACACACTTAAATGTTGTGGTTGAGGTTTAATTTAACATATTTTCACAACAGCAGTTTCAATATAATATTTTCCAGTAAATTACACACATTTAAGCTCTTGTGCCTCATACATAAAGGTCCCATATTACACAAAATGGATTCATGTGAGCTTTAATCCCTGTTATCATGTTATCTCCTCAAAAGCATACCTGGTGTTGTGTTTCATTCAGACATGTTTGAGTAACTCTTTATGATTAGCCTTTCTATATCTCCAAAGCTCAAAGTGCAGTGTTTCACCTTTTAATGTCATGAAGTGGTAGTTTTCAAGTCAGCAATTGCAGCAGAGATTGGCAATTCCATGGCTGAAATTATCCAAATGATTCTAGTGAAGGTGGATGAAGTTTAAAAACACAGTGGCGCATTTCCTGTAAAACCATTCATGCACAAAGAATATATGACCATTTGTGACAGACACATTTATTGCCAGTTTCTGTCGACATGCATGCTTTGTCATGGACCTGCCACCAGAAAAGTTACACAATACCCCTTAAAGTTTGAAATGTCTCATAAAACTCACTTAGGTCTTGTTGGTTCTTTGTCCATTGCATCTAAGTTCAAGATGTCATCTCCTGTGTTCTGTTTTTTAAAAGCCAGGTAATGTGATTTCCTGTCCTGCAGCGGTAGAACACATGAAATAATGTGAGCAAGAATCTGATTTAGTTACTGCATACTTTGACCACTGTATTAACCTCATGTGAACTTCAGCCACACTTAAAACCTAGTATATATATATATATACACTGGGTGAGTTAAAAGCAAAAAAAAGAAACGTTTTTTGTTTATTTTTGCTTATAAAGAAAACACAATGAACATCCAGTTTTCAGTCCCAATGATATAACGTAAGAAAGAACATATAAACCTTTCAAAATACTGAACTTTATCTACTCCAGTGTCATTTTTTAGTACTTCTTGCTTTATTAATCATTATTGAATGCCATGAAACTGAATATATGGTGCATAAATGTTATTTAACACTGCATAGTACATTTTCAGGCTCTCCCAGGACCCAGTTTTTGGTTTTATTTTCTGGTACAAGTATCACCTTAAACTTAATAGTACCCACTACACTAACTGCAAAATAAGGTATCCAGTAGAGGGAAAAAATGGCATTAATAGTTAAAAAGGATAAAAGTTACAGAAGTGAAAAGTAATAGCAGTCATTTCATAGTCATTCGAAATGCGAAAGAGGCTCGGCGGTCATTTTCAGACAAAGGTTTGAAAACTTGAGAGGAGAAAAATAATCTTTAAGCAGGTGAAAAGTTAAAAAGGAATCAAAACAAGTTTTAGAACAGTTGTATCAGTGGTTGGGTTTGGGTTAAATTGTTGCTTTTACCAATAGCTCTGCCATCCTCCTATCTCCTGACATCAGAACTAAACTTAAAGATGCATAATTCCTAGAATCAGAATTTATTTTATTGCCATTGTTAGTGAATAAACTAGGAACTGGCTCCCCCATTTGTTCAATAACATTTTGTCCTTTTCTACTTCTAACATCATCTCGAGCTGAAGCCCTAAATTTGACTTGCAGCCTACTTTGGGAGTTGTAACATCTTTTTGCCTTTTGCATATTCTTCTTCGTGCATTGTTTCTTGCTTTTGTTGTCTTCCGCTCAAAGCTCTTCAAAGTTGGAGTGACGGTGCTTCGTGGTCTTTCATGTGCTGC